AAATCTTGAAAAAACTTTATTCCTTTCAATTTGTGTGAGGAAATATATAACGTTTAATCATTTGTATTCAAAACTCACACTCATAAACATACCGTGTCCAAATAAAGTGGAACAGTTGTCCTTACTGACCGCTACAAGGGCTGACCATGTCTTGTGACTACTCTCCAAAGGCCATTGTCCTTTACCTTTTAATCAAGACCTCAATGTCTACGTCATAACGATGATTGGGTGAGCAATCCGTTTAATTGTTTGAGTGATAAGCGTTGCAAGAGCGTTTTAAACTAGTCGACGCCTTTTCGTGAGTAATCATGTGATTGTCATGAGACCATTTAAACAAATAAATGCCTTGGTGACACACTGTCCGTTTTCGAGTCGGGAATTAGTTTAACACACATTTCCCCAGATAATTCATTTTTACTGATTCTTTCATTTTTACTTGGCGATTTCTATACTTGTAATTTATATATCCACCAGGATAGCTCTTAAACTGCACATTTGTTACTGAACATTTTAATATATCTTACCAAAACCAATAAGAACACAACGTGACTAAAGCTTGCGGTTCTGTTTACGTGAAGTTACCGCTTGTTTTCACACATACTATTTATATATCTATTGCACTATACTTGCACTTATCTCTCAAAGCTAGGTGAGCTTAAATAAAATGCAACTTGAATATTTTTCGCCGCAAAAATATGCCACTACAAAGTGAATTAAAGTAGGTAACTATTATACGTACATTGATGACTAAACATATTTTGATTATGTGCGATTTCTGCATGCTTACACATACTTAATTGAATAGTAACATTTGTTTAGCTCTATATGTTGGCAAAGAATATAAATTTAAAAATGATCATTCATTATTCAGTATTCTTTAAAACAGACTTTGTAGAGATACATGTACATACATGTTATAGAAATGACAAAAAATGTATTTCAAAACATTTCCACAACATTTACACATTTTAAATTTCATCTTCATAAGTCAAATAGTTTTTTAGATTTTTAGAATTGTTCAGTAAATGATTGTATATGGACGAGTATCCCTTCGATTCTACACATGAAGATATGTACAAGCATTAAAAAACGGAGGTATTTAATAAAAAATATAATACTTATACAAATTAAGATATTAATATTTAAAACAAGATGTCATGTTTCAATTACGTACAATGTACGTGTTTAATATTGTAATGAATTTAGTATATTTATGTGTAAGGTTTTAATGTCAAGTATTTTTGCTTATTGAGGTCGAGGTTACGTGTCAATAAAAAGTCTCCCATTTTATTTATTTTCTTTGTATACCTTTATCCTCAAAAAATAACATTCAAAGTATATGTATAGATATATGTTGATTATTTTTTATATCAAAAATATGTTTTTTTTTCTGATTAACTGGCGTCAGTATATCCAACCGAGTTATACTCAAACACTATTTCCTCCGTTATATCTGTAGATAGGCAGCATATCCAAAATAATGTATCTGTATGTCAACATACCATTTTTTTAAAGAAAACTGAAATTGGTCTGGTACGAGACAATCCAAGCATTGCCGATTATGCTCTTTTGCTTTATCAACAGAAAGCCTCAAACGGCTTAAACACAGAAATTTAATGGGTTATGGCATGAATATTGTTTTGAGCTTTAACCCACTCAAATTGATTTGGTTAGAGTGAAGCTTGGTATGGTTCAGATTAAACTTAATGCCTCAGAAAAGCACGGATCCTCTGAATTTATTCTGGATTCTGTACGGGATAGATCCACTTCAAAATTTAATAATTTGCATATCCTTTGTTGTTTGTATGTTTGAAAATATTCGTTTCTTTAATCGTACTGTATATAAACTTAGCAGATATATTATCTTTGTGCTTCTGTGTCAGACAACAATAAGAGATAAATGATAAGATATCATAGGGATATATTAAATGATACATTTTTTTTTCTTACATTATCCAGTGAAGTATCTCTTACAGGAGTGATAAGAGTAAACAATCTATGTTATTTAAGATACGATTCTTTAAAAGAACTAAACAGAACATTTCCACTAATTCATCGTTTTATTGTGCCATATTCTTGCTTCATAAGCAATGGTTTTTCAGAACTTCCTTCTTAAGAACATTTTTTTCGCAAAACTTGGTAGGTATATTTATATCGCTAAGAAAAGCGGTCACTCTTTCGCAGCTATTACCCAACTTGGAATGCTCCGACAGGAGCACGGCCTTATATATAGAGCCCCGATTTAGGCGGCGACCCCGATGCAATGTTGCATTTTTGCGATGCCCACAACGGGTAAGGGCCGTCAAGGTCATAAAAGGATACCGCACTTTCTTCGTTGAAGCGGTTAGTCTCCTAGCCGGGACTCCACCACAGGGCCTGAAAGCGAGAACCCTTACGTCACTTTACCACTGGCGCCAGGAGGCGCTGAAGAGAGGTCTGCGATGGATATCAGACCTCGTACTTACCGAGCTCCGCAAGGTTTTAGTGTTAAAGTGGACAGAATATCTGTACCGCTGCATCGCAGGGCACGCTAGGGTTGAGGCATTAAGATCGGCTGTGGAGGATTGACCGGAGAGTGACGTACAAAATGTATGTAAAAAAATCGAAAACTGTACTTTACAATAATAAAATTCAAAAGCGTAACATTTTATGACATTTATATCTGATAGTTTTGAAGAGACGCTTTAATCTTCTTATTATTGTTTTAATAATATAGTTTGAATAAAACAAAGTCTGTATATGAACGAACAGGTTATGGCAAAAAATAAGGCATTCTTTTTCTGAGGTAAAACAATATTTATATACATATATATATATATATATATATATGTACATACATACATAAACTTTTTCTATATCTAACATCGTAGCAATGACAACAATAATTTACAGCGTGTAAAACATTAACATTGGTTGAGAGGAATGAACTAAATATTCATAAATAATTTAAGTTAGTGAGACACGAAATATGAATATGCATAAGCATATGAAATTACAATATTTATAAAATACAAAAACGTTACTATTTGAGCTCTTATAGGAATCAAATATAAAAAAAAATCGTGGTTTATACCATATTTATTCAACCAAAAACCTGATTAGAAGGTATCCGTTTTTCTACAATCTTTGTCTCAATATAGGTAATTAGTCGCCACAACTCATAAACAACAGGAAGTGAATTTAGAAAAGAAACTATCCCACCAAACACTTTTTTATGTAAAATGTTACCCAGATGAGACCAAAGGGCTCGCACTGTCATAAAGTTACAAGATCTCATGTAGAGCTTCTAACTCTACACGCTCTAACTCTACTAGCCCTAACTTCACAAATATGTTGCTACCTTGCGCTCCTCGAGATTCGTCTTGGCGGGGCACTCCCGTGCTGCCAGATCTGTACCCTGCTACGCTTTGTTGTGGCATATTAAAATTGCATTGATGATAAATGAGGAACTAAATTGGCGGCATAAATAGACAAAAACAATCCTTGAAACGGTTTGTATATCGTGTCAAAATTTAAGGCCTATCGGTGCAGATCTTTTGAGATTTAGAAGCGTACCCAAATCAACTTAATATTTTTATAAATATAGATGAAATAATTCGTAACAAAATTCACAAATTCTCCGTTGCGAGAATTTATCGATATATCGATTATAATATAATAATATATCGATTAAGGAATTCATAATCGGTTCTATTCAGAAAGCCTATTACTCAATTGTGGATTACATAGAAGACAAGAATGCTTTTGATTAATTTATTAATTTAGCACAGGCTATTTCGTAGTGGAAATGTGATGTGGGCTAGTGTATCTTTTATTAAATTTTCCATTTTCTAATGTTTCACTTTACTTTCTTTTTTATTCCATCTTTTTTCTACATCTTGTTGTCTCTTCATTGCCTTTTTACCTTTTAGTCCTTATAACTTACATACTGGCACACATCAAAACAATGTTGTATATATTAAATGATTATATTGTATGCATCTGTTAATTAAAAAAGATTTTTGATACGTATATATTTAGTATGCTAAATTTGGTCACCTGCCCTGTTAAAATTTTACCTCAACGCCTTTCAATTGAGTCTACCCGATCAAAGCAACCTAGTAAAGAAAAGCTACAGAAAAGGCTTGTACAATGTGCAGTTCGGAAATAGGTACAGCAAGGTACTTATTGACATTGTACCTTGCTTGTACTTTCTTGTACTTGTGGCGCCTACAGGCTTCACTAAATAACGTCAATAAACGTAAATAAACGTCACTAAATGTCCGACGGTTCACTGAATTATCAGGCGACTAATTGCTTTGTCTTCAGATTTCAGTCTGGAAGCCTTCGACGTCTTTAGCAGATATATTCTAAGTGAACGATCTAAGTGACGATCACTTATGACAATTTCAGGAAACTGAACGGCGGTCAATTGTTTATTGACAGTAAAATGTTGTCCTAATGAAAGAAGCTTAATGTAGCTTAATGGTTCCTATTATTGTCTGGTATTCCTCTAAAGACTTCTTATTTGTCGTCTGGACGATAAGGCACAGATATCCTCCACTATTCTGTAATGATTTTTATACGTGTCCACTAATAATGTCTAGTCACTGCGGTATTTATAATTGAGTACGGCTTTTGTGAAGTCTTTATTGTTGAGCCTTCCTTTACAAACGCGATGTTAGTTCTTACGTTTGTTGTTATTCCTTTGTTTGCACTAGCCAGCGATAAACTTATAGCTTCGTCGTCATGACAGGGTATTAAACCCTGTCATGACGACGTGAACAATAACCCTGGTCTTTTATATTTAAAAAAAAGCGAAACTTTAACACTCGTATTTTGGTAGATTTGATTTTAACTGTCATTGATCATGTGGATCTTTCTTTTATGATTTATATAATCAACTACCGCTTCATAGCTTATAACAAGCTAGGCCATGTGATCTTGTATATAAGACAACTGACCTATAAGCATCCTTCCGTATAGTTTTTAAAAATATTTATTTTAATTATTCCTTCCAGGTTCGTAAAACTAGCGTCCGAATGACTGCGATAAAGGAATATCCTTTCGACCTGAGTGATCTTCAGAACCAGCCAGTTGCTGGTGAAGATAAACCTTCTGCACTACAGCAGATCACAGTTCCCACGCGGAAAAAATCAAAACTCTCGGTCGGCTCCCAAGACGGGAAGAGAAAAGTATCCATAATGGCCGACGAATCTAGCAAAGACCGAGAAAATCTGCCATCTGAAAGAGAAAGGTATGTAACCTAACGTTACTCATTACTACTAGGTTCGCTGTGATGAGTCTCTATTTAATGTTTGTGCTTTTTTCATAGACAAACAGATAGACAAACTAATACAGACCGTATCATATAAATACGCTGCGATTCGACTGCAAAAATGCGTAAGAGCAATTTGCAATACCGCGGACCTACAAAATAGCAAATATGAATATTTATTTATTTTTATAACAAAGATATTGGTATTTTTGTATTAAATTCCTATGAAATGTCATGCAAAAGAGTGAAAAACAAGTTCAGCCGCAAAAACCTATCCTATTAACCAAGATAATGAATTATTTTATTTTCCTCCTGTTAAAATTTAGAAAATATTCTTGCAATCTTAGGCTTAATAAGGTTTTCAGAGCTATTTACAACAATTTTAAAACACTGCGACAAAAGAAAAACTTTAAATGAAACTCAAAACCATAAATGACTGCACGGATGGCGTAGTGATTTAAGCGGTCGCCACGACGCTTCCTACTACGCCGAGTGATCCACAAATTGTTGTTCTGAGTCTGGGTATTCTTTGTGTCCGTTTGTATAGTATAAATGTATGCTTGTATAGTTTAAAAAAATGATCATTCATAGATTAGACGATAGTGGTATAGCAGAATTGCCGGGTTAATAGATAATAATAACTTCACACATCTCACACACGGCAGTCTGATCCCAAACTAGGCAGAGCCTGTACTATGGTAACCAGACTGCTGATAAGCATACTTATATATTTTTAAGTACATACATATTATAGATAAATGACACCCAGACACAGAACAAATGATCGTGCTCATCACACAATATTTGTCCTGGGTGGGAATCGAACCCACGACCTCCGGCTTAGCAGTCAGGGTCACTAACCACTAGACCAACAGGCCCGTCAAAAGATACATGAAAGCTCATCAAAATGTATTTAAAGCACAACTTATTCATAGTGAGCGTTTCCGGTGAAACAAAGAGTTACATAAGAAGTGTACTATTATTTACTTTATTATTTATTACTACAGTACTACATATATGCTTAATGTACAATTTAGTAATAAACTATTTTCAATACAAAATTAAATGGAAGTGCCATGACATTCCTGTCTCCTGCGAACATAAAGTGCCTGCTTATAAAGTTACAGCAACGAGGCAAGGAGGCAACTTCTGTTAAACTAAAATGTAAATCTTACACCAGAAAAAAATGTCAGACATTAAAATTAATTAGAAAAATACAGAAATGTTTTATACCTAATTAGCGTCAACACTTTATTAATAGACCTTCATTGTTTTTTAATTTAAAAATTAATAAAAATCAAGCACGTTTTTTGGTTGTTCTAAATTTTTATTTTATTTCTTTACAAGTGTATTTGTATTAATTTTTGAAAATATTCTAATATCATGGCTTCTATGCCTATCGATATATAGGTGCATATACTATCTACCTACTAATTAATTAAAGAATATTAGATATAAATAGTAGAACACAAGAATAGCTGTTTCGGTGCATCTGCGCTTTACAATAATATAATTACTACGAAGCGCCTACAGCTGATATATTAGCAATGACTCAGAATATACATAAGAAATCTAATAGGTTATACATGTTATGTTTTATACATTTGAATCTTTAAAATTCATGATGTTTTAATTATTAAAAAACTGGTATTCATCATTTTAAACTTCTTAGTGTTACGCTTTTCTAGACTGTCATGAAATGTTTTTTTGCAATTCTTTTTCTAAGGTAGGTACCACAATATTTATATAATTGTCAAAAAGTTTAAAAGCACGATTTAGGTTTAGTCTTAAAATAAAACAAATCTATCATAAAAAGGTCAATACAAAATATACAACAATCTATTGAAAGAAAATGTAAACCACCTCCCTCGAAGTAAAGCGAAAATAAAGAAAACGTGAAGAAGTTATTATATATTATTGTGTTATTATATTAAGCTTCCAAAATGACTTATGAAACTCAGGCTCTCCAGGAAGATTTATTAGGATTGGAGGAGTATTGTCACGCTAACAAATTAGATCTAAATCCGTTAAATTAACGTATTCAAGGAAGCGTACTACTTTAGTATCGAATTATATGTTATGCGGTCAAAACCTACCCAGATGCAACACTATCCGAGACCAAGGTGTCCATCACGACTCTAAAGTCCTGTTTCACGTACATACATATAAACGCGGTCGTTAAAAAGGCCTCGAAAGCTTTAGATTTTGACATGCGTATCTCTAAATGCTTTACGGAAGTCAAGACTTATAATCCTGTATTGTATCTTCGTCCGTCCCGATTTGAAATATGATTCTCAAATATGGAACCCGTATTACCAAAAATCTGTTGACCGGATAGAGAGCATACAAAAGCACTTTAAGTGCTCTGTAAGAAATATCATCTGTTGCTACCGTACCGTAGGGCAATTGCCGACTACTTATTGTTATTAAAAACATTAAAAAATATACTGTTCTGGAAATACCTATCCATTCCAAAATACCATTATCTTTACAAATATGTTACTTCTTCAAATATAAAATATTAGGCGTAGTATCTATTTATGTAGCTGACTGTACTATACGATTGACATGAATCAGTCACACGTAATTGATAGTAAAATTTATAAAAGTGAAGTCCTGTGAAGCTTTCTAATACTATTCTACTGTTAATCTGTTAATTTCGCTGTAAATCTTCCACAGAACAAATAAATAATTAGCGTAAATTTTTGTAAATTAAAAGAGCTTTAACTTTCTGAACATATTAATATATTTGACATTGACTCGAGTGATCCTAAAGGAATGAAAGAAGAATACTCATTGCAAGAACACAAATAAATTTATAAAAAGGGAAAGAAGAAGAAGTATTGATATTGACAAGAGTCGAGGGCGTATATCCTTCTGCGAGCAAGTTATGCTTGCAAAGGAGATGGCGGAGCGGGACCGGGAGAGGTTTAGGACTCAGACGACTCAGGCGCCGGAGGTTATAGAACGACTTCCGTCCTCCATAAGCGCAGGCCTGGGAGTGGTAGGTGAGGCCATCTGTCACCCTAGCAGAAGCAGGCCGGTGGTGGTGAGACGCTCTGCGGAGCGCGCGCGTCGTTACGGAATCACAAAGGGGACATAGAGGTTCCCACAAAGAAGGGGTTACCTGTCTACAGCAAAAAGATAATAAGAGTTAAGTAGATTATAGTCCGAATTATTACATATTATATATAGAAGTGACTATCATAAGAAATACTACAGTCTACAAGTGAGAGACGTCAGGCTGTCGTTAAGGTTACCTTTTATTAATCGCTGCGTATTTATTGAGTGGATCTTTATAACCATTCACCTTTCACTTAAGAATGTTATACTATAAATACACAACTAGGTCTTGCTCATCACGTGACTAATATTTCGTGAAAGGCATAAATCATTCTGGCCAGTCATGAAAGAACCTTGCTGAGTCATACAACGTGCTTTTGTTTACTATTAGTAACAGAGACACAGAGGGATAACAGAGGTTATATAAATTGGTTACTCCCAACATATATCTGATCATGTCACATGACTTGTCAAACTGTATTTAATGTATTGTATAACAATAATAAGACAGCATACTGTATCAATCACGTGCTTCTACCTTCAATTAATCAATGTACATTGTAATTATGTTTGTGGGCTGTTTATGTAGATAACTCCGTTGCCAGTATATTGTTTGAGAAAATATTAAATAAATATTTTCTGAAATGCAAACTTCAATAGCAAAATTTCTTTTTTTATGGTTCCGTACCACAAAAGGAAAAAACGGAACCCTTATAGGATCACTTTGATGTCCGTCCGTCCATCCGTCCGTCCGTCCGTCTGTCCATCCGTCCATCCGTCCGTCTGTCTGTCTGTCAAGACCGTTTATCTCGGGAACGCGTGGTGGTATTGAGTTGAAATTAAAACGCTCTACTCAGGTCTACAGTCTCTTAATGCCGTGAGAAAATCAAACTTCTTAGTTAACCGTGTCATGTGGGGTATCGCGGGTTGGTACAAGCCGCAACAGTTTTTTTTTTTTTTATGATGTATAGTTTTGGATTACAAATTTGTACGGAACCCTAGGTGGGTTCAACTCGAACTTATCCGGTTTTTGTTTTACTTTTCATTATCCTAAAATTAGACAGAAATTGAATTAAATTTATTTTTAATGCATTTTAACTATGCTTCTAGAATTCATATATGCTTTGACGAATTGTTTAGAGGAAACTGTTTTGTACGGTACAATTAATTATTAATGTGACATAAGGAACTTTCCTAACCTTGAGTTTTTAAATTGTCTAGTTCATGAAGATGCTCCTATTAATATAATAAGTCCTACATGAATCTCAAAATTTGCGTGTTTAATTTTTACTTTCTGTTTTAGTCAATTTTAAAGTATATCATCAACAGCCTTTAACAGTCCATTGCTCGACATAGGTTTTGAAAGAAATAAGTGTGACAAATAGGCAAGCAAACGGATGCATAAATTATCTAAAAGTAGCAAAACAGAACTAGAAATGTAATAAGCATGTTAAAAATAAATACTGTGCTGATATAATACAAATTACACGAAGATACATTTAAATTACTTATCTCATACACGGCCGTCTGATCCCAAACTAGGCAGAGCCTGTGCTATGGTAATCAGACTGCTGAAAAACACACTTACATATTTTTTAAATACATACGTATTATAGATTTATTACACCCAGACATAGAACAAATGACTCATCACACAATATTCTCGTCCTGGGTAGGAATCGAACCCACAACCAACAGGCCCGTCGTTTATAGATCTAATTAATACCGGCAGGCGCCTGTAAGTTGTAAACGGGCAATATGAGTGAGCGATATTTCTAGCCAGTGAATGAGGCCAGTGGAAATAGCAAATGTTTATTGAATATTACATAAGAACTATTAGGGCCCCTAAAAACCGTAGACCGCTTATACAACCGTGGGAGAGCTATGCTATGTCACATATGAGCTGTCTCGAGGTG